GGGGGGGGGGGGGGGTTCAGAGTGGTTTCTCGGAACGGTTCACGAATCTGCGGCGGCATTGTCAACAGACAAGCATGACAACAGGCGTCCGGCCAAAGTCGACGGTAAAACAGACAGACGCAAAAAAGCAACGCATCGGCAAAAAAAACGGTCGGAATGATGCCTGCCTTGTAGGGACAACGAGCAAAAAGAAAGCCGTCGTCGCAGCCAAACACACACCTGCGACTGCAGCTGTCCGACCACCGCCGAGTAGTAGTCCATGCGCTTGGACTGGAAGATCTCAATGTACCTGGAATAACCAAGCACGACGGCAACACGCACGGACGGCATCCAATGCAATACACAGATGTCATATCCAACACCACATACAGCTGGTCCTCCACTGCCACACAGAGCCTGGTGTTCCACTGCCACCCAGAGATGGTTTTCCAACGCCATTTGTGTACGCAGCTGGTAATACCCAATGCCACACACAGATGGTCAAATCCATCGCCACACACAGACGGTAATATCCAATGCCACCTTCAGCTGGTCCTGTGGGCGCATCACGCGGTGATGTTGGAGCAGAACAGGAAACGAAAATATAACATCATAATTGTGTTGTCGTTCTGACACCCCAAATGGATGACACAACCACAAGCATCCCTCGACTTGAGCATTGGTATTGTTGTGGGTGGGTGGAATGGGGGTCTACAAGACCACAAGAGAGCACTGGTTTTCCGGGAGGCCTGAGTACGAACGGAAACAGGGGATGGACAAATACGGACAACGCGAAAAAAACGAGAAAGGCACCGAAGAGTGTGCTATTCCCCCTGGTCGACACAGAGTCTTCCTAGCCACTTATGCATGCCAAAGAGACAGGAGAAAAATACCAGCTCCGCTGGTAGGCGGTTACATCACATCGCATCACCACTTCAAGGGGCTTTAGACTCAGAGTCGGAAGGGCAATTCTGATCGGCGTTCGACGGAGATTTGGATTGGCGGCGACGAACAACCTTTCGGTTCGAGGCGGGCAGATCCCCGCATGGCCAAGGTGATCAACTACATTAGCAGGTCAACCGACGCTTGCCATTGCCCCCCCCCCGCCCCCTGTGGTCCACCGAAAATCCACTTTTCACTTTTCGAGTCTTTTGGCGCTCACTTTGTTTTAAAGAGGAATAAGCTCTTATCAGTGCATGATAGTGGAAACGGATTATCGTAGAATATACTCCTCGATGCACGATACACAGCTCATAGCAGAATACAGTACGATCCATTCCATCCCTCTCCTCATCGTTGCCGTGTTGAGCAAACAAGCGTTTCGGCTTTGCAACGGGGTCGGGACGTTCCTCCCTGAGGCTTACACTTGGATCCTGATATCACGCGGCCGCTTAGCTCTAAATACCTCCGCTGGTGCACAGTGAACTAAATCACGGTGACGGACTAACTACCCTTCACTCGGTTTGAGAATCAGAGAGTGAGTGAATGAATCATTCGGTTTGTACTGCGAAAAGGAAAAATAAAACCCCGACCATGCGCACTCCCAGTTCAGGGAGAAGCGGAACAATTGCACAAAAACCAGCACCTCCCCCACCAACAATCCGCTCCTCTCTTTTCTTTCCCTTCTGCTGCCCCCCCTTGCTTTGGGGGAAGAGTTACCACTCAAGACAAAGCAAGGAGCAACACTCGGTCTCCTGGGCGACGGAACGACGTACTTTCCAAGACTCTCGCAAGTATCACTCTTTCGAAACCATGCCAACCACCACCACCCGTGCCACAACCGCTCCGGCGTCAGATCGGAGCCGTTTGCACAGAAGGTGAAAAGATGAAGATGAAAGGGTGTTACCTGCCAGAGCATGGAAAGCAGGGCAACAGTTGTTCCCTCCCTAATAGTGTTTGGGGTGATGCATATTTTTCTGTCTCAAGTTGCTCTCCTACCCCTAAAGTAAGGGGGGGCAGCCGAAGGGAAAGAAGGAAGAACGGAGAGGGGACTGGTGGGGGAGGTGCCGGAATTTTGTACCCTCTCTTCCCCTTCTCCTTTCTCCTGGGAGGGGAACGGTCGGAATTTGGGCCTTGTTTATTTTTAGTGCGGTAGGACAAATGGACACATTCTTTCATAAATCAGACACCACACCAGATGGCCGCCGTCAACGATTCCAAGACGCAATTTCACATTACAGCAGAAATCAGCAGAGCCAAACGCAGGATGCGCCAGAACCCAGTACACAACCGCAAGCATAAAAAAAAAAACACTACGGGGACCAACAAACACCAAAACTTCACTTATTCGGATCTCTGATGCGCATAACTCGCATTCTTGCCGAAACAACATGTATGCCTCGTTCTTGCAGCGAGAACAACAACAACAACAACAACAACAACAACAACAACACAAGCTCTTCACCTGCGGCCCATGTGCTGCTTGTCCCTGGAGAGCGCCATCTGCATCTCCATCAGGTTCGGCAGCACGACGATCGCCTCCCCCGCCCCCCTACCGTCGGCTCTGGTAACCATAACCACGTCCAAGGGCACAAGCCCTGTACGCAGAGAGAGAGAGAGAGAGAGAGAGAGCACAGGGCGGCGGCACAGCAGCAGCGCCGACCGAGGGACCGCACGGATGAGTAAATAAATCGATTTCAGAACATAACAGAACAACATCTCGCCCGCGTGTAACCGCTGGGTGCAAGGCGCCACAGCCAGTAGGCAATGCCCAAGCAACAGTAGCAGTAGCAGCAGCCAACGTGGCGACAGCAGAGCGGACACAAATGCCGGTAGTTCTGCATAGAGCGCGTGTGCCTCGGGATAAACAGCCGAGCACAAACCGGTACATGAGCGGTACCATGTACATGATACCAGAGCGTGCTAGGTTTAACGTCGACGGGTGGTACGAGGAACGAAAACATCCGTGTACCTACACCACTTCACCAGGAGTTGGGGGCCAAGTGAGGGTCAAGACAGCAACGAAAGTGGTGATGGGAAAGGTATCAACGCGTGCACGTACCGCCGTAAGTTGCACGAAAATACTGGACCGACTGTCAAGCTCGACTATACTGCAGCAAAATCGGAAACGTAAAAGTGCCAAAAACAAATTGGCGTTACGTAGACTCTTCTCGTTGAGAGCTTTCCGAGTCTTGATCTTGGCATCTTCTTGGTTTGTCGTGTAATAATCGAGCCTTGAAAGTCGGTGCAGCGGGGGTGGAATCTATATCTTATGCCACTTTCGTACTGTGGCTAGATGCATACCCTGGAAGAAGCGAAGGACGTCGTCGATGGTGGCCTCGAAGGGCAAGCCACGCAGCCTCACACACGGGAACGGCCCGAGGACATCTTCCAAGGAATCTGACACCGACAAACAGAGGGCGGGGGGGCGAAAGCGATCATTTGACGTGGTTCGGAGGCAACGAGATGCACCGCTTCAAACTTACACGGCAGCTGGCGCAAGTTTACTAGTAGCTGATAGGTACGGGTACTTTTTGAGAAAAACATAGCGCAACGGTCAGAGAACAACAAAAAATGTAGGGCAACGGTCAGAGAACAAGAAAAAAAAGTCACCGCATTATGCTACAGAGAGTCCCTGACGACACCAAAACAGACCCGCCGACCAGGGTCTCTTGGACAGGTGAGCACCGTAGTGTCCAACAACACCCGACAGTGATAATGCCATGTATCACACCGTCACGCAGCCTATCCTTAAAGAAGACAGCCAACGGGGGAAGGTGTCGCTCGTGCTTTTGCCTCGTTCATTGCACAGCCACCACCCACACGACCTCACGATGCCCCCCCCCCCCCC